GTGCATTATCCCGTTAGAGTTTCTAACGATATTTTAGTGGTGATTGTAATTACCAATTTCACACGGACCTTAAAGTTATGTTAGCATACCATCAATCGCTACCACTAGCAACCTCTCCAACGCCGCCTCCACCACCACCAAACCCTCAAGGACTCAACACCATCAACCACCGTCACTACTAGTGGCGAATCCAAGATTTTTACTGAGGGTGTTAGAAATTAAGAATAATAAAAAATATAATGGTTGAGTAAAAGTTTTATTGATAATTGGTGCTTAAAACGTGATCTATTGTGTTTCAGGCACAAATTGAAGAATTGAATAAATAGAGAATCAAAACTGTAATTTCTGGGAAAATGTTGGCGAAAAGTGAAAAAAGTCAAAAGTTTGAAGGACAAAAGCCCAGACGGCCGTCCGAGAAATACACTTGGATTTCGGACGGCCGTCCGAATATCCTCGTTGGAAGAATAAAGTCTTTGAATTATAATTGAAAATCCAGACGGCCGTCCGAGAAGGCGTACAAGCGCAGTACGGGAATTCGCCTCTTTCTCCAACTTTTCCACCCTATAAAAGACCAATTCAAGCACATAATTGATGACTTTTTTCTTTAAGCAATTTCAAGAGCAAAGAAGCAATAGCGAAGAATTCGAAGACTCCAAGCATAGTTTTATCTTCTATGACTTATATTAAATTTGTTTTATTACTTTAATCACTAGTAGCTAAATTTTTTAATTCTAGGATTTTAATTATTTCGATCCCTATGTGGGATTTATGAACTCTTTTCCATGATTTTATGCAAGTTTTAATTCTGAATTATTTCTTCTACTTGTTTTATTGAGTGCATGAAACTCGACACTTTATGTGTTTTTCTGTTATTGTTAATCGCATGAATCGGAAGATCGGGTTAATAATTAGAATTGTGGTAGAAGAGCCTTTGTGGTATTAACATAGGAATATAGTTAATCTCTTAGGTAGTCATTATTGAGATTTGTGCTTCATGTTGTGTTCTGGATTGAATTGTGTACGAATACAGTAATTGAATCTAGAGTATTAGAATCGCAATACACGCAGAAGCGGGTTATGGTTAATTTAGCATCCCAGGTTAGTAATCCGATTTAATAACTTGCATAATTGAAGGAATTGGGGAATTAATAATCACATAGGGGGGAGAAAAACATCATAGGCTTGCTTTTGCTGATTAATCTTCGTTTTTAATTGCTTTCATGTTCTTGTCTTTTTTAATTTGCTTTAATTTAATTTAGTTTAATTTAGAATAATTGTTAAACTTTCGACTGTGTAGGGTGGGCTTGATCATAATTGGTAGGAATTAATGTCTAGAATTAAGTAATTAAATATTCTCTGTGAGATTGATACTCGGACTTTTAGTCCATTATATTACTTGTACAATACATGCACTTGCGTGTAGGTATTTACAAACCAACATTAACACAGTAATTTAGAGGGGGACAAAATGTCACGCCAGAGACCGGCGGTTGACCGGCCAGAAAAAAAAATTGCGAAATTAAAAAAGTTTTAAAAAAAAAAAGGTCAATGCCGGAATGTGGCGCAAAAAATAATCAGAGAAAGTATTAAAAATTATTAAAACGGGGATTAATATGATATATTTGTTCAAATCCGAGGTCAGTGTGTAATATTGAGGAAATTAGAGATAAAAATTATATTATGAAGGATATTTTTGACAAAAGACATAAGTATAGATTTATTTTTGACAAAAGACATAAGTATTATATGAACTTAACTGATTGTATGTTAATGTTTCATCAAAGATTAATTCAACTAAATGAGAACATTTAAAATTAGAAAAATAAGCACCACAAAATCCATCCACCTAAGCACAAGTTTTGAGAAAGTAAATACCATCTCCATTCTTCAATAATCGTCTCTTTTCACATTTATACAATTATTAAGAAACTCAATAAATGAGACTTTATTTTCGAAAGAAAAATATACATTATAAAGACCGGACTAATCTTTATCATTTAATGATTTATAATGAGTTATAAGAGAATGTATATATATATATATATATATATATATATATATATATATATATATATATATATATATATATATATATATATATATATATATATATATATATATATATATATATATATATATATATATATATATATATATATATATATCTCTCTCTATATATATTTATTTTTTTCTTGCACGAACAAACAAAATGAGCGCGCGCGCGTGCGCGTGAGTGACTCTCTGCGTGTGTGTGTGTTTGTGTGTATATATATATATATGTGTTTGTGTTTGTCTCTCTCTCTCTATATGTGTATGTGTGTATATATGTATATATATATATATATATATGTGTGTGTGTGTATCTGTGTGTGTGTGTGTGTGAGTTAGCGAGCCACACACGAGAGCGAGGGGGAGGGCGACACTCAATAAATATAAAACAAACAAATTTGATCTTGGGCGCTCGCGCTCGCGCTGGCGGTGCGGGTCTCACATTTTCATATATATATATATAGATATATATATATATATATATATAT